TGCTGATGAGGGCGGAGAAGGTGACTTGCTCGCTGCCACGATGCCACGTCACCTGTTGCGGCTTCACAGGCTGAAGCAAGAGTAAAGGCTGTTGAGAAGCAGCTCGGCAACAACAGCAAGACCTTTGCTAAGGTTATCAGGACCTCGCTAGTCCCCTTCCTCCTCCTCCTCCTCCTCCTCCTACTCCTCCTCCTACTCCTCCTCCTACTCCTACTCCTCCTCCTACTCCTACTCCTACCCCCCCCCCCTTCTACCGTCCCCTCCTTAATTTTCTCCCTCCCTCGCCTCATCTTCTTCCCTTGAATTCGCTACAGGAAATCTCGGGGCTCAAGATGCAGCTCATGAGAGCGCAGAACAAGTGAAGGTCTTCCCTAATGTACATACTTGTATAAATGTTAAGCTAGTCCCTTCCGCTTCTTCAGCTTAAGCTAGTCCTGACCAACACAAGTCCAAGATGGAACATCGTTGTACGGTACAGACAAGTACCGGATTACAGCACATCAGTTTGCGCTAGTTCTCTACTCTCTGCATTGCGATGCAAGCAGTGACATAAACTTGGGAAAGCAATCAGTTTGATGATTCAAATGGAAAAGGCAACCCGGAGCCAACGACGGAGGAAAAGGTGAACCCGGCAACAAGTCCGCCACTTACGAGGATGACTGAGAGGCGACAGTAAGTTAGTTGTGATGAGTTCGGAGTACTAGGGTGGAAAACATGACAGCGAGTTGCTGGCTGATGTTGCCAGTCACATGCTCAATCTCTTGTCCTCTTGACATCTTTATGCTATGCAAAGCTCATGCGTGGAGACCCGACAACAATGGAACATACATTTAAGAGGGATGGGGGATGTAACAGGATGAAAGAGAGGTATGATAATATGTGTAAGATAGGGAAGATAAGGTTCAGATGCTCCGCTTTGGCTTTCTTTTCCAGTCAGTAAAGATTCCCGCAACATCTTTGTCGTTTGATCTAAGACCCGAACCTTGAACTGATACTATGGCATAGGTAGAGGGTTTGACCCTGCTTCCCCTAAATATCTTTTTGTTTTCCCCGATTCAATTTTCAACCCTCCATACCCTCCAAACCTTCGGCATACCCTCCATCTCCCCCCTTCTCTTATTACCATTTCACTGTTAATATATGTATGGAAGGTTTATGGATAGTTCTTAGAATCATGGAGGGTTGTGCTAGGGTTCATACCAACCATAAATCTTTCTCTCCATGCCACCATTCAATCACTGTGTGTAAAATGAGTCACCCATCCACAGAATCCTTACGTAATTGTTTTGATACACGGCATGATAAAATATCTCAGTCAGGAGGCGGAGAAGCCTGTCGGGGCAGCCTGGTTGGCCCCGGTCAGGAGGCGGACTCCCGAACTTAAGCCGCTGTCCGATCTGGGCAGCCTGCCGCAGGAGGCTGTTGGGCCCGGTCAAGCACTGCGGCAGGGGATGTGGGATTAATATTCTCCACCCCTATTTGCTTCACATTTTTGACCCACCCGGGCACCTACCCGAAGATTTTTGCTGAAAATCTTTCCCCGCCTTCAAACTTTAATTGCCCCTGTTTTAGAGCAGGCCAGGCAGGCCAGGGCCTGGGCCGGCTGCCGTGGGCCAGGCTGTGGGCCGGGGCCTTGAGGCTGTGTGGGGATGTGGTCACATCACAGCTTTGACAAGGCTTGTTATGCTCCGCCATGAACGCCAGCAGCGCCGCCGTGGCTACACCGCAGGCCGCGGGGGTGAGGAGAATGGAGATTCTGCTGCTTGCTGCTGCTGCTGCTGCTGCTGCTTCTGCTTGCTGATGCTCCTCCTAGAGCCGAATGATTCTTCCCACTCCTCGTCGGCGGCTTCCTGTGGAGATGATCTTTCTTCCGCAGGTCTCCATCTTCGTCTACATCCTCGGCCCTCTGGTCGGTGTCATCGCCCTGCTCGTGTGCTGCGCTTGTACCGCGTGGACCTGCGGCAAGTTTCCGAGACTTCTCCGTCGACTCCCTCGACCATGCCGGATCTGCTGCTCGTACCAGGAGGAAGAGGATGAGATAGAGAGCGAGGAGAAAGAGTTCGATGTCGAGGCAGCGAGAGAGGCGCTGGAGGCGCGAGGAGCATGGATCATGGAAGTTCATCTCATCCGCGCCCAGAACCTCCCGAGGTTGGACTGGGCGATCAACGACAGGATGCTCATCGGGACGTCCGATCCCTTTGTCGTGCTGAAGGTGCGAGCATGGAGGAGAAGGTGAGAGGTGATGGAGGAAGCGGCAGGTCATCTCACAGAGGGAGGACGAGGATGTGGCGAGGAGGTACGTCAAGCTCAAGCGCAAGTCGAGGGTCCTCCGAGGAACTCTCCACCCTGAGTTCAGCGAGAGCTTCAGATTTCCTCTTGGCCAGTCAGCACCGCAGGACCAGCTCGCGCTGAGGCTGGACGTGAGACAACTCGTGTAGCAGAGGAAGAGAAGGAGGAGGAGAGGGGGGTGGGGTGGTTGACTTGTTGACTAGTGCTCAGGTATGGGATTGGGATCGTTTCAAGCCTAACGACTTCTCTGGCTTTGCGGAGCTCCCGCTGGGACACTTGTTCAGGGAGGAGAAGAACGAGGTCCATCAGCTCCTCTGCTGCTGCCCGCCTGAGCTTGAGCCCAGCTATTCACCTGGTGTAACCTGAGCTGGCGGGATGGAGCTCCAGTGTTCGGAGGGATGTCGGGGAACCTTCGCTCTCAAGTGCTCATCTCACCTAAGACTCGCTCCTGCCCGCCTGACTAGGCGAGCAGACGCTCTGACCTCTTGCTGCAGGTTCAAGTTAGGATCCGCCTAGTCAAGGCCAGGAGCGCAGAGGTTGTCATCTCGGAGCGCATGGCGGGCAAGGAAGCGATCCGGCGGAACATGCAGGTCGGAGATAGCGGTATCCCCAAGGCGCTGGAGGGGCTTGACCTGAGCAAGACGAGGTGAATGAAGGAAATGCGCATGAGACGTTGAGAGAGTTGATAAGGATGGGGGTGCTGCCTGGGTCGTCGGAGGGAGTGAAAGATCGCGATGTTAGGCGAGCAATGTTGTCAGAGGACAAGGTCAGAGTTGCTTGCTGTGTTGCTTGCCGTCCTTGTCGCTGGCTCCTGCTCCCGCTGGTCGCTGGTCGCGTGAGACGAGGAGCAGGAGGAACTGGTTCGACTGCTTAGTGAAAGCGGACGGGACATGGAGAAAGCCGACATTGCAGCGGCAAGGCAAAGGGTGAATCTTACTTCGTTTCGTTCGCCTCGTTTATTAACAGCTGTGATTGAAAGATTCGTTTCATATCAGCTAAAGATGCTTCAGCTAAACTCCAGCAGACAGGTTGACAGCCCCGATAATCTCTCGAGCATATGTCCACATCAGCTCAACCCTGTCTTTCAGCGATGTCTCTTACTTCCTCGTCCTATGAGTCGGAATCTGCGCTCTTTGACGCCAAGATTTCTCTACTGCACGACAGGAGGCTGCTTTTAGTACTTCACTTCCTTCTCTCACCCTCCCTCAGCTCACGCTCTCGTTCCAGGCAAGACAGTTCGCGGCGGGAGAAATCAGCAAGAAGTGAGCTCCGTTTCTCAGCTTGTCAAACTTGCGACCACCCCTGACAACCGTGGCAGGCAGTACCACGATGCTAAGGAATCACTGATGTCGGAGTACCCACAAGTCAAGCCGACGATGCAGAAGCTGCAGAAGACGCAGAGAGATCCCAGCAGCTCCTTCAAGATCTCTTTCTCAGCTCATGACCCGACCCCAGCTGCCGCCCGGGATGTCCGGCTGACATCGCCCGCAACAAACAAGAAAGTGACGAAAACGCTCGACATGCGATTTACCAGCGATGAAGATGAAAGGCGAAGAGGCGAGCGTGCCTCAGGTAGCGTTGTTGTTGACATTTGTCAGAATCTCATCGCTATCAGGTGCTGCCCTCCTGCCTGCTGACAGTCTTGCTGTTGCTCCTCGTGAGGCAGACCTGCTGTTGAGTAGTTCTTTGAAACGAGAGTTCAAGATTGATGTCAACGACAGATCTGTGCTGACGAGAGAGCGAGGCAATGGTGAGAACAGTAGCAACAACAACAGCAGTAGCAACAACAACAGCAGTAGCATCATCAACAACAACATTGACAGCAATGACAACAACCATAACAATAGCAGCAAGAACAACATCACTAATATCAAAATAACATGGACAGGAGGTTGGCCGTCGCCAACATCAACACCAACGACAGCAACATCATGAGTAACAAGAAGACAGTCAGGATTCAAATTCCAGATGCGACAAATGCTGAAAGCGACGTTGACAAGAAGCGTCAACTGCCAGTCAATGTCACCGCGCACTCTATCCTCAAGGGGAAGCAGGAGCGAGCAGCTACCTCTGAGAGGGGATCGTCCATGAGGCAGGACGGAGGAGGAGCAAGAAATGACAACGTGGCAGCAGGCAAGAGTTTGTCACCTGCTACTCCAGCAAGGCCTTCAGCTGCCCAACTGCCCAAACTCCCGAAGCCCGAGAAGTATCGAGCTAGGAATGTGTTCGGAGGACGAGGATGGTCCGGCCAAGGTCTTGGGGGCTTGAAAGTGAAGCTTTGGGGGTGCTGAAACTGCTCAGGTGCAGCTGGAGCGAAGGGTCCTGGTGGCTCGACAGCAGGGCAGGTGGGACTCGTGCTCCTCTCCTCCTGTGACTCAACTCCATGCAGGCGGCGAACCAGAGAAACGAGCGGGCGAGCGAGGGAAGCATTGAGGTGAGGGAGAGGGGGAGGAGGAGGAGGAGGAGGAGGAGGAAGAACGGGGACAGGAGGTAGAAGGGGAAGCACTGAGGAGGGGGACGAGGAGGTCACTGAAGTTTTGAATCCAGATGAACACGCGGCGAGTCGTTCACTTTGGCGATGGGTAGGAGATCTAGTGACATAACCGTTGAACCGTTGAACCATGAACATGTCAAGTTGTACACAAGGAGGTGATGGATCGCATGCGAGCCGTGCCAGTCATCGGATAGCGCCGACGGTTAGCAGAACTCTCCTGTAAAACAAGACTGAGACTCGTGACGGCCCTTACCGTACGTGGTGCGCCGGAGACGGCATGACAGTAGCGCGTTGGACGCAGACGAGGGCCTTAAGTTCCTAGCCGTCTTGCTGTATCATAGTAGTACGGTGGGTGACCTACACGTCCTAGCATGCAGTACGGTCTATCTCTCATGTGCTCCTCAACCCGTTTCGTGTACATTCAACTCGGTCTTGAGAGCAAAAAAATGTCTGAAAATGTCTTCAAGATGCAGCTGAGGTCGACCTTGTGCAACTTCGCAACAAACTCGAGCTCCATCGGTTATGAGCCTCGAGAAACGTGCAATGAAAAAGATTAAGCTCCGCGTGCTCTCAACCGGGCTCGAACCGATGACCTTCGCCTTATCAGAGCGACGCGCTACCAACTGCGCTATGAGAGCTTGCAATGCAGCTGCTGACAACTCTACATATACCTGTGTGACCACCCCTACCCCCTCCAGATGTACCCACCCTTATCTTCACAGCAAACTACCCCCTTCTTATCCTGTACCTGACTCAATCTTGTACACCCCTAACCCCCCCTGCCACACTCTCCCCTTTCTCTAGCTTCACCTGCGGCCTCGCCCCCGCCCTCCCGATGGCCGTCAGGAGTCGACGGGAGAGCGAACGGGGTGAAGGGAGTGGAGATGGAGCACAGAGAAGGGAGGGAGGGGAGAGATGGCGATCCGTTGAGAAGAGCAAAGGAGAAGCTAAGGTGGAGATGCGACAAGGGAAATGCGGGGGAAAGTCAGCAGAGGGAATGCAAACGATTGATGTAGTGATGGAAGTTATCGGTAACAAGTCACAAGTTTGTTCATCTCATCTACCACGGGCCATCGTCAAAAACCGTCGGGCATTGACTCATCCCAATGTCACCACAACAGCGGTGGCAGAAACATCAAGAGAACGTAGAAACCTCGTGAGTAGAGAAAGCTGCTTTCTTCTAAAGATTCATTGTACATGTAACAACATCAAGACTTCACGCCTCCACTCGCACTCGACCCGTCTTAGGCGACACAGACGCTCTGGACTCGCTCCTGCTGTTCCAGTTGAGGCCATCAGCATGGTGGGTCCTGACGTAGTTCAGCAGCCCTCGCATCAAGTCCTTGAAGAGGCTGACGATCTGCAAGTCGTCTGAGACCTTCTGTCCTTTCCCTTGATCGTTGTCCTCTTCCTTCATGTCTTCTCTTTCCTTCATGTCTTCTTTTCCTTCTCCTCTTCTGCTTTCTTCACCTTCTCTAGTTTCTCTTGCTTCTTCCTGGCGTCTTCGAGTATCTGCCAAATCCATCACCGCGGTCCCTACCATGCTCCCGCATCTTGTCGACCTGGTTCGCAAAGACAGGAATACAGTTGACGATCTCTGAAACAAACGCGGCAGGATTGGGCAACGTGACCCAGGCAAGCGCCTCGATGCCATTCAAGATCTAGAGAGAGCGATCAGAGGGGTGAGGGGGCAAACACAGTCTACCATCTTCTTGTGCTTCTTGTGCTTCCCCCCTGACTCCTCGTACTTGGAGATGCTTGCTAGAGCCTTAGAAGAAAAAACTCAACAAGATTGCTGATGTCACCTCCAACAACAACTAGATCATTCTCTCCATCAGCACAACACAAACTATCATCGGCATGCCATTGCTTTCAACCTCATTTCATCCTCCTCTAATGTTATGTAACGTTTACATACCTCGCTGGTTGGCACAAGAAGTTGCTCAAACTCCTCGTCTGAGGGTTTGGAGCCTGAAGCCACGGTGACCAGCATGTCTCGCTGACATCGAAACGCCTGCGACCAATCTCAGGGCTGAGGCATGAGGCTGCTTGCGAACCTCTTCGACGCATCGCGCGTATGATTTCAACTCGTCAGATTGCGAGCTGAGGACTTCAACAAGGGGAGTCATCTGAACCAGAGGCTGAGGTGAGCTGCCATGGGCGCATGTTTCACCGTCACCTTGGCAATCACAAACTCGTCGTAAGCGCGAACGATCTGCTCTCTGTCATACTGCAGCAAGTCAGATTGCAGCTGAGTAACTTCAAAGAGCTCAAGGTCAGCAACTCACCGACTTTTCCATATCTTTGCTGACAACTTCCTTCTGAACCTTCCGGCTTGTCAACACTTGTCAAACCTTCACCTCAAGCCAACGAACCTTCTTCGTTCCAAACAGACCCTGCGCATAATTCTCGGCCACAAAGGACCTCAGCGCCCGCATCAGGAGCTTCAGGCAGTCCACCAGCTTCTTGTGCTCGGGCTCCTGAGTGCGAAAGTGACCCTAGAGTGAGCGGGGGAGGGACTCGGCTGGCACCTTGTTCTCTTCAACTTTGGTAGCGAAGACCGGCAAAGCGTTAAGGGCGTCGCTAAGGTACGACACAGGGTCTTTGACGGTGACCCAACTCAAGGCCGTCATGGCGCCGGCGATCATCTGAAGGTGATATTTGACCTGCCATGGTCAAACTTGTCCGTGAACAAGGGAGGAGACTACCTGTGGGGAGGACACGCAGCCTTCGCGTTTGATCCCCTCGATCTCCTGCAGCGCCCGGTCGATCGGAACTATCCACTCATGGACCTGCACCGCTCAGCGCGTCAGCGAGTATCTTGCTGCGTCACCCTCGGGACCGTTGCTGAGGAGGGATTGGAGACTTTACAGACGTTGTCGAGGAGGACTCGCTACGTCCAGTCAGCTGCAGGACTTGAGCTCGGAACCCTCTCACCTGTGCCTGGAACGCTGCGTTAACAGCCATGGCCTGTTTTCTTAAAGGGGCTTCGAAGCATTGACAAGAATCCAAGAAGTCCTGCAGTAACCGTCAGCAACGAGCTGGCTTCCCAGCCTTCGACCTTGAGCTCCTTGGCAACGATCTTGTCGTAGCTCGTAAGCTTCGGGTCGACCTTCTCGGCAACGACAGCTGCTGGCCGTGCTTCTACGTATCCCGCAAAGGGCAGCCCAAAGAAGTATCCAGGGAGCCTCCAGCAGTCGACAACTGGAGAGGCTACTCCTGCTGAGAGACGCTCGGCTCAGTGCAAACTTGACCAGGACACCAACAACCTTGCTGGACGACTTGAGGACAGTAGATGTGGCTGGGAGACTGCAGCGCTGTCAGCAGGCACGCGCTTGAAGCTGCCCTCTACCATGTAGTGAGCCTCGTGGAGGGAGGTCGGGGTGTAGTATGCCAAGGAAGGAGGAGTCTGCATGCTGTAGGGGACCTGTGAAGGAAGTGTTTCACGAGGCACAGGAGACTGCAACAGAATACCTGGTGATAGTATCCTTCGCCATTCGAGTTGAACATTTCGAACTCAAAAGCTGCTGGAAACGAAAGCTGCGAGCAAGGTTTTGCCCTCCACCTGACCGCGAGTCAAGATGGTGTAAAAGTTTCATCTTTTTAAAACTTCATCTGTAAATTACATTCCTCGCCATTGTTCCACTTTCATTTTTCTCACCGGAGCCTCAATCAGTGTGTTCTAATATAGACTACTCTATCGCGCATGTTATATTCCCTTATCTCCTTCTCAAGTGCCATACCTTCTTGTCTTTTCTCTGACTGTCCTTCCCTCTCGCCCTCGCTCTCCCCCTCCCTTCCTCTCGCTTTCTCTTGCCCCCCACTCCCAACCTCTCCCTCCCTCCCCTGCTGTTCAACCCCATCATATCATAATCGCTTTCAAAGTTGCACTACCCCACCCACTATCTTCTCATGGAATATACTTGAGAAGGAGGGGTTAAGAGGCTCTTGGGTGGGTAAAAGAGAAGCAGGGGGCCCAGGAGGACGGGAGGGGGACGAAAGACGTGGAAGCAAGCGGGGAGAGGAAGGAAGGGGGGAGCAAGGGAGGTTGAGATGATGCAGTATACCATGAGAGGATGGTTTCGAAGGCATCTTAGGATCAGTTTGCTGGTTACCATGCTTTTCTCCACTGCTCTTCGAAATGTTTCATCCTTCGCCCCCCCAAGATGTCTCCCTTGTCAAGGTGCACGAGGGCAAGGTGAACGATTATCTCTTCTCTCTGCTCCATATGTGATGTCTAGACGTAGCAGTATGCCCTCGCCGCCGCTTTCAGCACCCTGGACGCCATGGATCATGGCGGAATTCAGCGGGAGCCACAAAGCGAGCAAGCGCGACACAGGTTGAGGGATCATCGATCTTGGTGCGGACAGCGGATCCGAATGAAATATCAAACATCACGGACATTCTCGCTCATGGGTTCCTAGACGAAGAAAGGGCTAAAAGCTGGTTTGGAGCACTGGAAAGGTCGTTCCTTCGCTTCAATCTCTATGTAGGGATGCTGGACAGGCTGTTCACAGCAAATTTCAAGGAGGGGTTGGCATTGGGCGATACAATGTCACGACAGAGCAAACATGTTCACAACTTCATCATCGCCTGTGATGAGAGTGGAGAGCTTGCTGGCTCAGCAGAGATCACCATGAAGATGTATCCCTGCAAGAGGAACAGCCGTCCTGACGATCAGCTACCATACATTTGCAATGTTGTGGTGCGGAAGGAGTACAGGAAGAAAGGCTTTGGGGAAGCTCTCGTGCTAGCTTGCGAGGAAAAGGCTCTTGAAGCTGGTCTTGATGGTGAAAGCTTGAATTTGCAACACCGTTTGTAGTTCTTACCCGCACACAGAGATCTTTCTTGACACCAACAGCGACAACGTTGCTGCATTGAGGTTATGCCGCCTCCCGATTCTTGTCACTGACCGTGAGCAGTCTTTATCACAAGTTGGGCTACGTAGCTGAGGTGGTCGATCCTCACTACCGGAGCCCCAGAAAGGTCTACATGCGGAAGCGTCTCAAGGAAACAGCTCCAGAGTACACTTGAGAGGTAGAGGATGCAGCGTTGAGGTTGATGCAGGCTGAAGCCGGACGCGCTGAGCATGCATCGGATCATCAGGAAGGACGTGGAGGAGGGCGGGGGAGATGCTGATGTTGTATGTGTGCCGGTGCTCAATGACGACGAGGTTGGTTTCTCTTTTTCCTGCTTTGCGTGCTCAGTATGTATCAGATATACCTGCCTCCCAGCTCAAAGCTTGAGCTGATGCTCGGTCCTTTCGCTCCTGTCGCAACAGCAGTCTTAGCAGCATTTGCATGGCTGCTGTTTTGACGTTTTGACGAGATGCCAGAGGGTGAGAAGTCAAGAGCTGTCTCACCACATGTGTGTTTCATCCTCTTGGAATCGTTGTCAAGAAAATTGTACAGCATTTTTTATATCGTTTTCGATTTTACTTGAATTGTCGCCAGTGGATGGCAATCAAGCAGGTGTGCGCTTGAAACAAGTTGAAGGAGTATGTCTGCCTGAATGGCGGTAAGTCACCTCTGCAAGGAGGAGTTCGAAACATGAATGTAGTCTGTTATCAGCTCCCCATATTGTGAGCAGGTTCTTGGTCGACTCAACGTCGATGGGTAGAGATCAGATCACAGGTCAGAGTCAAGTCACTGCGAGTTGGAGGAGGCATAGTGTAGGATCTTACTGCCTGCGGGCAACGGATGAGACCATACCTGCGATGTAGACTGAGTGACAAGGCAGAGGAGAAACAGCAGTAGAAGCACCTTGTCTGATCCCAGCGACGAGCCTCGCAGGGCATTCTGATTCACCGCCGCCTGGATGCTCCAGTCTCGCATCAGGTCCACCTACATGACAGTCAGAGCTCGGAAGCAGCTGGGGTCTTCGACTGACGTAGATCAGTTGTGGGACATTCCCACGTTGCAGTCCCAGTCGGACGACCGATCCCTCTCTCCCCAGGATCAGAGGTGCGAGCTGGGCGACCGGCTTCCGGTACACGATGTGTCCGTCGATCTCATGCAAGACGTCCCCCACGCACACCAGCCCTGACCGATCTGCCGGCCCTCCGACAGCCAGAGATTTGACGTGGAGCGCCCCGGTCGAGTCAGGCTGAAAGATTACGCCGACCCCCACCGGCTTGCTGATGCTCTGCGCTGTCTCTGCGGTCCTATTGACCACGGTTGAGCTGCTTGCAGGATGCTTCTTCTCATCATCGCGACTTGAACAACAGAACATAATCTGCGAGAGAGTTCAGGGAGGAACATACTTTACAGCGATACAACTAGCACTGATATGCACACTCTTGTTAGCGAATAGCTCCTTCGATTCTTCTCTTACACTAGACCTCGTTTCATCGTTCACGTCATTTCATGCATCTCTGCGCTAGTTCAAAGGTGGAAGTAGAACAGATCAATATCCTCACCCTCCTTTGTTCCTTGCCCTCTCTTACACCATCCATCTATTGCACAGGTGTATCGTGCTCTCCTCTCTCCCTATATGGATATGCTTTAGCTGATCTCCCTTCCCTTGCCTGTTCCCTGCATTCTGAGCTCATCAACCACCTGTAGCTCTTCTCGTCAATCTCCTCCTCTGTCTCCCCTTCTGTTCCTCTCAAGGGGGGCTCTCCTCTCTCCCCTCCTCTCTCTCCCCTCCTCCACCTCTCCTCTCTCTCCTCACTCTCCCCTCCCCTCCGCCACCTCTTGCTTCTCTCTCTCTCTCTCTCTCTCTCCCCCCAACTCATATCTTAAGTGGAGGAACTTGGGGAGGGAGTTTTTTTGGAAAATCAAAGCAAGGTCTCTCATCTTAGCTAGATCTCTTCGCGTCACGAACTTTATCACCAACTTGTAGAGACAATAACTCGGTGAAGGAGGAGAATTTCGATAACCATGAAGTGGC